CAATTTTTAGACATTCCAAAAGTACCCAAAGATCTATAGACCACCAAAAATTGAGAAAACGAAAAAACGGTTGAAAATCACCCAAAACTACCGTAAAACTCTTAAAAAACCGTGATTTTTTGACACCTTAAAATGGCTTTTTACCACGATATTTGGCACACGGAAAAAATCGTTAAAAATCACTCAAAAAAATCTCAAAAAAAAAATTTACAAAATACCTTGTTTTTAAACACCTCAAAATAGCTTTTAATATCTACATCAGAGCATTTGGTGCATGCAAGTCAGTAAAAAAAATCCCCAAAATCAAGCCTCACAATCTCCTAAAATACTCCAATATTTGGACACCCCAAAGTACCTAAAGATCTACGGGGTGCTGAAAAAATGGCGCACCAACTCAACGCCAAATTATTAAGTTTAAAAAAAAAAACATTAAAAAATTTCTTACGTCAATTTAACGTTCACTTACAGAAACAAAATATCGATTTAGACCGATAAATCAAAAAACCCTAAAAATTAGCCACACTTGTCAAATTCATCCTAAAATTTTTTAATTTTTTTGTTATATTATAAAATGAAGAAAACTGTGGATGAAAACAAAATACCTCCAAAATTATTTTGAATAAAGAAAGTCTAATTAATTTCATGTATCCAACACTAAGTGGTGAATTAGAATATGGTGAAATATTGAAAATAAAAGTTAAATTTTGAAGGGCTATAATTTCTACTACGTTTAGGCTCAAGAATTTTTTAAATTATTTTTTCTGTTCTATAAACAGTCCTCAACAACGTGTCATTGAATTGGTACGCCACTTTTTTAGCACCCTGTATAGACCAGGAACAATTAGGCATACGAAAGAATGGTTGAAAATCATAAAAAAAAAACCCAAAAAACTTTACAAAATCTCTTGTTTTCAGACACCCCCAAAAAGGATTTTTATTTCTGGACTAGACCACTTGGCACACGAAAAAACCGTTGAAAATCACCCAAAATTAAACAAAGTTACCTCAAAAACTTAGGAAATATGTACTTTGTTTTTAGCCACCCCAAAAAGGTCATGAAACTACGAGAAAAGTGCTAAAATCCTTAAAAAAAAACAACAATTTTTAGAGATTCCAAAAGTACCCAAAGATCCATTGACCACCAAAAATTGGACAAACGAAAAAATGGTTGAAAATCACCCAAAACTATCTTAAAACTCTTCAAGGTACCGCGATTTTTAGACATCCTAAAATGGCTCTTACTTCTGTACCAACATATTAAAAATCTTACAAAATACCTTGTTTTTAAACACCTCAAAATAGCTTTTAATTTCTGGACCAGAGCATTTGGCGCATGCAAAAGTTAGTAAAAAAGATCCCCAAAATCAAGCCTCACAATCTTCTAAAATACTCCAATATTTAAAGATCCCCAAGTACATCAAGATCTATAGACCACCAAACATTGGGCACACGAAGCAATGGTTGAATATCACCAAAAAATCAAAACAAAATCTCTCGTTTTCAAATACCCCAAAATGGATTTTTATTTCTGAACCTGACCAAATGGCACACGAAAAAACTGTTGAAAATCACCCAAAATCAAGCATAGTTACCTCAAAAAGACCCTAAAAAATACTTTGTTTTTAGACACCCAAAAATGTCTCTTTACATCTGCAAAAATCATTGAAAACATCCCAAAAAGACATAAAACTACCAAAAAAAGTGCTAAAATCCTTAAAAAAAAAAAAACAATTTTTAGACATTCCAGAAGTACCCAAACATCTATAAACCACCAAAAATTAGGCAAACGAAAAAATGGTTGAAAATCACCCAAAATTACCTCAAAAAGACCCTGAAACTCTTCAAAAATTGTGATTTTTAAACTATGGTTCTTTACTTCTGGACCAGGATATTCGGCACACAGAAAAAATTGTTAAAAATCTTACAAAATACTCCTACTTTTGCTTTAGACACCCCAAAATGGCTCTTTACATATGGATCACATCAATCGGCATATGCAAAAATCATTGAAAAACATCCCAAAAAGAACATGAAACTACAAAAAAAAAAATATTTTAGAGATGCCAAAAGTACCCAAAGATTGGGCAAACGAAAACATTGTAAATCACCCAAAACTATCTCAAAAGCACCCTGAAACTCTTCAAAAAACTGTGATTTTTAGACATCCTAAAATGGCTCTTTACTTCTGAATCAGGATATTTGGCACATGAAAAAAATCGTTAAAAATCACTCAAAATCAAGCACAGTTGCCTCAAAAACATCCTAAAAAAACTCAATATTTGGGCACCCCAAAAAACCTCAAAATCTATAGACCACCAGAAATTAGACATACGAAAGAATATTTGAAAATCATCAAAAAGGACCCAAAAAACTTACAAAACTACTTGTTTTCAAACACCTCAAAATGGATTTTTATTTCTGGACTAGACCAATTGGCACACGAAAAAACCGTTGAAAATTACCCAAAATGAGGCACAGTTACGTCAAAAATACCCTAAAAAAAACTTACAAAATATCATTCAGCATATCCAAAAATCATTGAAAAACATCCCAAAAAGAACATGAAACTACCAAAAGTGCTAAAATCCTTCCAAAAAAAAAAAAAACAACGATTTTTAGACATTCCAAAGATCTACCAAAAATTGGGCAAACGAAAAAATAGTTGTAAATCACCCAAAATTATCTCCAAAACACCTTGAAACTCTTCAAAAAAGTGTGATTTTTAGACATCCTTAAATGGTTCTTTATTTCTGGACCAGGATATTTGGCACACGGAAAAAATCACTCAAAATCAAGCACAGTTACCTCAAAAACATTACAAAAAACTTACAAAATACCTTGCATTTAAACTTAGTAAAAATAATCCCCAAAATCAATCTCCTAAAATATACCAATTATTTAGACACCCCAAAGTAGGTACCTTAAGATCTATAGACCACCAAAAATTAAGCATACGAAAGAATCGTTGAAAATCGCCAAAAAGAACTTATAAAATCTCTTGTTTTCAAAGACCCCAAAACAGCTTTTGATTTCTGGACCACGTCATTTGGCGCATGCAAAAAAAAAAACAACAAATCAAGGCTTGAAATAATAGTCTGCTTTTATAAACGTCATAGTCTATAAAAATATGGATATTCACTTTCATATAATGTATAAATTTCAATATGTCATTATAAAAATTCGAGAAACAATTAAATTTTTTATGAAATTTTAATATATAAAAATCAAATTGTAACAAGAATGAAAGCAGAATGATACAAATTTATGACAATTTATGTAACAACTTCTTCAGAAATTGGTAGATTTTTGATAACCGACAACATCGCCGCGATTTCTGCCATATAAAACGCATTATTTACGGATTTTATACGCTACCAAGTCAAAACGGAGCGCACAATAGCTCTTATTTTATGGTTTTATGTATAAAGGGCTGTGCTATTTAATTTTTAGGTTATAAAATTTTATTAGCACGCAAAAAGTGTATGCTTATAATACAGGACCGTACTGCATTCAATCTGTCTCTTCTAAATAAATATCGTCTTCTTTGTTCCATTTCGTAAAACATCTTAAAAAATTGAGGACTTTCACTAGTTACACCGAAATCTGTAACGGCCATTTCAAACGTTTAAAATTTCGACTAATAACTCTTGCACTGGGTATATTCACACAACAGTTGCGAAATCCGTTAATATCGTAATTAAAACTAGATACGTATGAACGTGTAGTCGTTAAAAAATAAACTACGTGCTTTATTTATCCTACACTTACTTTTGTTTGACGTACTATGAAATTCTGTGTGATAGTACATTGAAAAAAACGACGAATACACGTTTCGTCAATAATCTAATAGTCAGAGCAAAATTTGTTATCTTAATCAGATTGATCAAAATCCAATTTTTCTCAAGATTATATTCCACCGCCACTAAATCAATTTGTTGTAAAAAAAAAAAATGTCAACCACATTTATTGTCGAAAATCCAGTCCATGTCACAAAACAAAACTCATACAAAACAACCTATAGAAATCCAGTTTCCGTTTTAATCGCCTTCCGGCATTCAAAAACCCTCGTAAAACCTCACCGCCTTTTCACAGTTTTCCGGAAAAAACCTCTTTCCGCCTAATTAAAAAACACCTCACGTAACCACCACATTTGCACAATTTCATAACTCAATTAACTAATTTCATTTCACATGCAGGTGCACACGTCCTGCACTTTCTACACCAGGCCAAGACCCGTAAACACACCGGAATAGTCCGACCGGAAAATCGCCCGGAGTCGTATTATTTATGGACACGCTCCGGTTTGCCCGTTTAAGCCGCTCGAACTCGTTAAATATTGAAAAAAGTGCGCTACGCGCACCACCGCCTCGGCAATGCGTAGGACCGCCGCCGATTACCTGATTCCGTGCCGAATCGCGCCGTCGACAGCAGCAACACCACATTTCGCCGTTGCATCACTGACATAGAATAAAAACGTGACATACCTCCTGGTGGTAATCATCATCGGCGGTGTCCCTGACGAAAATAGATAGCGCCGGTGGCAAAGTTCGCAAAAATTCTCTGACGAAACGCGGACATGCATAGAACGCGCGCTCGCAGACCGACACTCTTCGAACGACTACTGCTGGAGTCGGTGCTCTTGCCGCGAACGATGGAAGGAGCGGCGAAATTCAGCCGAAGAGGTGAGGAAAGGCGGCCTGGATGCCGCTGCGTGGCCTTCGAGAACAAGGTCGTGGAAAATTTGGGGAAATTAGTCTGTGTCGATAACGAAAATATCTTCAGGTCGGAAAGTCAAGGTCTACAAAATGTAAAACGATCAATGGGGTTTTCTTACCGCAACGTCCACCCGATTTGCGACCCATTCGTTTTCTGTTGAGTTGGATTTAATTTGGTTACTAGTTTATTATTACACGGGCGACACAAAAAATTGAAATAACCTATGATTGAACCGTAAATCAATTAAATGGATTAGCAGACCTCAGTTTTTATTGGTTCTGCAGTAATGAGGATAAAAGTGTTGCTACTAGTTGCTAAGTTCACTATCTTTACATCAAAAATCAAAATCCGTCCAACACTTGGTCGGTTATAATTTGCTTTTAATTGATTTAAATTTAATCACGGTCTGTGAAATGTTTCCAATGATGGGGAACGGAACTGAAAATAGCCAGTATTGTTCTGGTTTATTTAGAGACCTCCTTGAACGCTTTAGGATTATGGCATTAATAATTTAGAATCCTATTTACAGAACTTTCAACTCCTAGACGCAAACCACTCAATCACGTTATAAATCTAAAAGTATGAGTGAGGTGCCGATTTCCCGTTTCCGTCTGTTCGTCTGTAATCTGATTTAATTAATCTTTGAAATCACGTCAATGTCTTTGAAACAATCTTAATTACAGCGATTTCATCGATCTGTACACACTATAATTTTCGGTTTAGTTCAAACAGTTACTTGTGAATCGTTTTTGTACGATGTTAATTATTATGAAACCTCTTTGCAACGAGTTTGGTCGGCTTTTTTGGTGTTTTGTTGCGTTATGATGATAACATTAGTCATGAGGTCGAAAGTCAAGGTCTAAAAAATTCAAAATAATGTACGACTTACGCGTTTTCTCACTGCTTATCTTGTGAGGAATTCTTTCGTTGTGATGAATGTGAAGAACGCTTGTGAGTTTTACAACAGGTTTAGAGTAACATAAAATGGGTCTAATCTATGATTCAATCATAAATCAATTAGGTGGATTAGTAGATTTCAATTTTATACATCCCGAAGGTAAGGAAATAAAGTATTGTAAGCTTGTATGTTAATTTTTTTTTGCGCTGCCATAGTTGTAATTGACATTTTACGTTGACACGTGGCGTGTCGTAATGGCAATGAAAAAGGATCTAGCGCCGCAAAATACAAACGAGGAATTTAAGCTTTGAAAAAATAAATTGATTATCACAAAGTAATTACTACTAATTGATAATCATGTATCTAAAGTTATTATAACAAAAAGTGGCTCGAAATTTTAAAAAAGCGCAATTTAAGTTGTAATCTTAAATAGGGGAATTTGTTGATCAAAATTTGGATTTATAGTAATTTGACAGTTGACACTATTCGATGGTTTGGTTTATGTTGTTGACAACTATTATGTTATTACTATTTGTTAGTAGTTCTTGTTAATTAAAAAAACCGTTTAAACTTGACGTTATTCGCAACCTCACGCTGAATCATAATCACAAGATTCTCTCTGATCTGGAGCCGTAAATATAAATGTTTCCACTGGTAAGTATTTCAGACTTCTTGGGCTTGTGTCATTCTGCCGCTTTAAAAACGCTGTTAACTTATAAAATTTCGAATGATTTATATTATGTTTGATGCCAAGAGTGCTTTTCAGAACTGAATATCTTGTCCACAGTGTGGAGGCTTTCATGATTTCCGACTTAATTTGGAAATAAACCAAGAGCGTCGTTTCAGAAAATTCGCGTATTTTATTTTCTTCGCACCACTTGATGAATTTTTGATATTCGGCTTCATATGGACCTGCGGATTTTGCAGGCAACAAATTTGCAGTTGCTTTATCTGCAATTTTCTGAATACGTGCACGATTTTCCATTTCAACTTTGAAATTCAAAATCTAGACCGGACAAATTGACAGATTGGTATTTGACGTATTTGGTAATAAATTCAATACCAACATAATTTCGGTTCAGAAATATTTATTCTTTTAGCGATTGAAAAATGTTATTTTTTCAAAAAGGCAGCGCAAAAAATATTGTATGATACTCGTGTGAAAACTCCATTGCATTACTCACTTACATACAGCGCTCGACTGCGTCTCGCGCCGTATTCCCGTTCGTAATGCAATGGACCGTTTTCAACACTTGTAACATAAATAACTATTTCAACGAAATTCAAATTTGTACTGAAAATAGTACGTAGGAACTTTATTTATTTTTATAAAAAATTTAAATTGTCTGTGACTTGTTAAAAACGATAAGTAATAAAATATCTTTATTGAGGAAGACAAAAACAATCGATAGATTTTACTACATATAACTACGATATAAATTTGCTATTGAATAGACATTCGTGACACAAACTTCGTTCCTCATATCAAAGTTAAGACGACATTACTGACCTGTTTCTTAATTGAATATTTTAAAATAAATCAAACAATAAAATCTAAAATTGATTTACCAATACATCGTTTTTGAAGTAGTAATCAAATTTAAAAAATAAATCAGTTTATGTCACAACATAAATTTCAAAGGAGATTTACTTGGCGAAATTTTGAGATGACGTCAATAAATTTTGGTTAGAGTTTTGCGTTACGTTCAAGAAATAAAATGATATGATGAATGTTATTGCTGTATGTTTCCACAGTATTTTATTAATTCTAGAAACACATTAATTTAAACAACCCACATATTACCAACCTTGACAAAAAATTAGTGTGTGCACTTCTATTAAAATACACTGAAGTGTGAATTTGTATGCAGGTCCATCTGTTTCTTATTTTTTTTTACCTTACACTTTTTACTTCCTGAGCATAAGCTAAGTTTTTATTCTACGCATCCATACTTTTTGGAAAAAATCAAAATTTTATAACATCTTGCAATTTAGCTTTAAACGCGTAGCAATAAAATCAAATCGTCAATCAATAATTTTTCGAAAAATCTGGATTTATTTACCTTCGACTAATTTTTTTGATACCACAATTTTTCGTTTTTTCAGTTCCTTTAATATTTCAACTTTTCCATTTTTCGATGCTTCGGTTTCATAATTTTTCGATATTACAGTTTTTCATTTTTCGATTTTTCAGTTTCTCACTTTTTAATTTTTTGATTTTTTATTTTTCGTTTCAAGTTCTCGATTTTCCAGATTTTTAAATTTTCATCTTGCTGGGATTTACATCACAATTTTTCGTTTTTTCATTTCCTCAATTTCTGAAAGTTTGGAATTTTCAATCTTTGATTTCTCGATTGTCCAATTTTTAAATTTTTCAAAACTGAAAATTTTTGATTTCCGGTCCGATTTTACGATTTCTATAATTTTCAATATTTCGATTTTACAATACATATTTCATTTTTTCGATTTTGCATTTCCATTTTTTTTATTCGAAAAGTTGAAAAATCGAAAAATTGCAAATCGAAGAACTGAAAAAACGAAAAATTGAAACAATGAAAAACTAAAAATTGTGAAATGCAAAAATTCTGGATTCGTCAATATTGGAAAGTCGAAAAATTGAAAAATTAAAAATCGAAAAATTGAAATATCCAATAAATGAAAAAGTTTTAAATCCAATAATTGAGAAATAGAAAAATTCTAAAATCGTAAAATTGAAGCAGTACACAATTTTAAAATTTATAATTATTATTACAATTTACAATGAAAACTAGAAAATTTTCAAATCAATAATAATTGAAGAAAAAAAACTGGAAAATCGAGAAACCGAAAAATCTATAACTGAAAAAGCGAAGAATTAAAAAATCTAAAAGTTGAAAAATCGAAAAGTTGAAAACCGAAAAATTTCAAATCGAAAAATTGAAACCACCAAAAATTGAAAATTTTTAAATTGAAAAAAAGAATAATTATAAAATCAGGACATTCAAAAACCGAAAATTGAAAAAATAAAGAAAATAAAAAACCGAAACGAAAAAAAGGCAAATCGAAAATTCGAAGAATCGAAAAATTGAACAAATACAAATCGAAACGAAAAAAGGCAAATCGAAAATTCAAAGAATAAAAAAATTGAAAAAATAAAAATTGAGAATTCTAGAAATGGTAGAAACAAAAAATGAAGGATGAAAAATCGCAAATCGAAAAACTGAAGAATCGAATAACTGAAAAAATAAAAAAAAATTAGAAACAGAAACTAAAAACTGCAAATCGAAAAATTGAAAAATCGAATAAATGAAAAAGTTTTAAAATCCAATAAATTGAAAAATAGAAATATTCTAAAATCGTAAAATTGAAGAAGGAAACAATTTTAAAAACTATAATTCATTATTATTACAATTTACAATGAAACTAGAAAAATTTTAAATCAAAAATTCAGGAAAAAAAACTGGAAAATCCAGAAACTGAAATATCTAAAACTGAAAAAGCGAAGAATTAAAAAAACTAAAAGTTGAAAAACTGAAAAATTGCAAATCAAAAAATTACAAAATCAGGACATTGAAAAACCGAACACTGAAAAAATAAAGAAAATAAAAAACCGAAACGAAAAAAAGACAAATCGAAAATTCGAAGAATCGAAAAATTGAACAAATAAAAATCGAAACGAAAAAAGGCAAATCGAAAATTCAAAGAATAAAAAAATTGAAAAAATAAAAATTGAGAATTCTAGAAATGGTAGAAACAAAAAATGAAGGATGAAAAATCGCAAATCCAAAAACTGAAGCATCGAATAACTGAGAAAATAAAAAAAAAATAAGAAACAAACTAAAAACTGCAATCGAAAAATTGAAAAATCGAAATATTCTAAAATCGTAAAATTGAAGAAGGAAACAATTTTAAAAACTATAATTAATTATTATTATTACAATTTACAATGAAACTAGAAAAATTTCGAATCAAAAATTCAGGAAAAAAAAACTGGAAAATCCAGAAACTGAAATATCTAAAACTGAAAAAGCGAAGAATTAAAAAATCTAAAAGTTGAAAAACTGAAAAATTGCAAATCGAAAAATTACAAAATCAGGACATTGAAAAACCGAACATTGAAAAAATAAAGAAAATAAAAAACCAAAACGAAAAACGGCAAATCGAAAATTGGAAGAATCGAAAAATTGAAAAAATTAAAATTGAGAGCTTTAGAAATCGTAGAAAAAAAAAATGAAGGACTGAAAAATCGCTGATCGAAAAACTGAAGAATAGAATAACTGGAAAAATAAAAAAAAAGAAACAGAAACGAAAAATTGCAAATCGAAAAACTGAAAAATCGAATAAATGAAAAAATTTTAAAATCCTATAATTGAAAAATGTAAAAATTCTAAAATCATAAAATTGAAGTAAGCAATTTTAA